CATATGGTTTTGTGCATTAATAAAGAAATTGCGTCATCTTAGATCCTTTATCTTTAAACAAAAGATATTTCAGCAGTTACTAAAGTTCTGTCTGCTTTTGAACTTTGCCGCTTGAAAACTACTAAGTAGTGAGAATCCCTGTTCAACAGGAAAGCTCAAGGATGAAATAGTAATGCTCAATTAAGCCAACACTGTATTGACTTTGCAGTTCCACAAAATGTAATTCTTTCAATTACTTCACATTATTATACAAATTATATGCATGATATAGTCAGTACTGATCTCCTAACTGTATTTTATTAACCAAATGATGATATTAATTTTAAATTCAATGTAATTATTGATAGATATTGTATCTTTTGTTGTTGTTTTTTTGTGTCAGTTTCCAAGTTTAAAGAAGTATTCTTTTATCATTTTGTAAATTGTGCCAGAGGGAAACTGGAGATTTGCTCAAATTTGTTCTCATCAGCAACTTTGCTGTTGAATTGTACACTAAAAACATTATATAATTCGTGTTCTTTCAGCTGTCTCAAACTATTCTTGCCACCATATGTTAACATTCTTTTTTACAAACAATTTGTACACATGTATATTTAAAATATTGCTGCTGAACTTTATATCAAGTTTTTATTCTATGATTATTTTTGAGTTCTTCTTAATCTGGTGCAGCTATTTTACATGAGAGATGTTTCATTTTTCTTTGTATCTCTTGTAAGGCGATTTTTAATGATCTAATTTGTTCATTTTATAGATTTTCATCGTAATTAGGTAAACATAAATTAAGTATATAAATATTGTTTTAAAGTTATTATTTTGTGCTCAATATGGGTATCAACTGCTGATTTTTATTGTTATTATATAATTAAATGAATAAAAATATTGAAAGTATGTATGTTAATTATCAGTTACTCCCGAAAAACAACCATCCTTCCAAACGTCATGATAATGTAAGGACACATTTTGAACCCATACTAAATGAAATCACACCTCAACCTACTAAAATAACAACAAAACTATTTTGTTAAAGTGAATAGAACATTATATCTACTGTCTGTTGTTTATAAAACTATTGTTTACATTTTGTATACATATATTCAAAATACCCATCAGAACAAAATTCATTTGTATATTCCCTTAGTGACGAAATCATTGCTAAACGGTAAAAAACCTTATCTACATTTTGTAGCAGATAGAAATTTTGTTCCGGAAAATTTTATCTACAATATTCATGTCTATTCAATAACAGGAACATTCTTGGTAACAACTCTTTCAAGAATTGACTATGAAATTATGGAAAATATATGAGCTGTTTAAAATTTATTAGTACGTATTTACAAAATTAAATTGGTCCGCGCGACCTTTATAATTTTGTAAAAACGTACTAATAAATTTTAACCAGCTTAGTGTTTTAAATTATTTTTTATAAACAGTCGATTTACTAGGCTGATTAACAGTTTGCTGATTTACCAAAGTAAATGTATTACCATTCATTTGAAATCCTATTGGACAGAAAATAATTTCAAACCCTAAAATCAAATAAACGTCACAATTTAGTGATATACAAGAATTGTATACTCTACAAGATGTTAATTTATTACCCATCAAGAGTCTGGCTAGAACTGTTAATAAACATATGCAATATGTACAAAAAAAGCTCGAATTCGCTATTCCTTTCATTATCTGTTTACATCAATATTGACAAATAGGGGTGTGGATAATTCTTATATATATTTATCGCTTAAATCTTTAACCACCTAATCAATCACTCAATTTTATGGCGTTAAGCATAATGGCGTATTGGTAGAGTGTTCGCTCTATGGGAGTAAAGACCCAGGTTCGAATCCTGAAAAAGGTAATTCTTTATTTTTTTTTTATTTTTATTATTTATTATTTTTATATTTGTTTTTTTACAACGAACTGGATTTTAGATCCCCGAAAATTTCATTCAAACAATGCTATTTAAAAACATTTAGTTATACACACATTCGCATTCAACAGGTTAAGTATAAGACAACACAGTAGTGATAAGGATAATAAATGAGCAATGGAAGAACATATATACAGTAAATACAAATGAGCCAAAATTGTTAAAAATGTGGCGACTGGAATTCAGAGTTTAAAGTAGAATAAAATGATAATACATGTACTGTTTAATTTATAAAAATCAAATACATTCGATTTTGTTTCGCCGTCAAAAGACAATGAAAGAGATAACGAAAAGTTACGTGACACATCTTAAAAAATATTCTGAAAGTAAAATCCATACTTAAAAAAAATGGGGACAATTAGAGATTCGAACTCGAAAAAACATATCCATAACCTGAGATCTTTATAATCTGAACTCTTTTACCACTACGCTACTCGGATGTACGTGTCTATATCCAAGTTTATTATTCTCTATATAGCAATAAAAATGTAAAACGTAATAATTGAAGAACTTGAACAACCCATTATATCATAATGGTTCGACCGTTTAATGTAAACGTTATAGTGTTCGACTTATATGTATTTATAAACTAGTAAGAATATTAATACTACAACACTAAGATACGAGGGCTGTTCGAAAAGAATTGCTTATTGTCCTCTATCTCGTGATCCACGTGGGACACGATAAAAACCAAAACATACCTGTATAGGGTAATTCAATACATACACAACGATGTATTTATAAATGTACATGTTAGACTATGTGTAAGACATACAATTTGCCATTTAAATACACCAGTCATTGACCACTGTAGTAAAATGGTTGGTACAGTAGGGTGAACGTGTCAGTTTACACGCAAAACGCACGTTACACGCTATACGAACGCACGTTACACGCTATACGAACGCACGTTATACGCACGCAAAACGAAACGAAATACGCAGACGCACGCAAAACGATATACGCTAAACGAAATACGCTAAACGATATACGCACGCTAAAACGCACGCAAAATGAAAACGTTTCTAAACCTTTATTAAAACATCGTAATCATTTTAGTTTTTTAACAACTTTAGCTACATGTAGATCGTTTAGCGATAAATTTTGATTATCATATAGATATATATGCTTATGGTAGCTAGAAATGTATTTTAAACGAGTTTATGTAAGAACTGAAATGCACTCAACCTAGCACCGAAATTAATTTTTGTCACAGCCTCAACAAATGATTTTTAGAAATATTTATAAGCTATCGTGCGCTAATATCGAAAGTAAAATAGTTAGGATAACGTGTTCCTTTTTATGCACAATCAAATAAAGAACTATCCCTTGCATTCACTACGTAATCTCTACGTAATAGTCCAACATGGCCGACATTGAACTATGCATTGCAAATTTTTATAAATATACAGTGCTAACAATTAAATTCAGATGGATTTATGAGGCATATCTATATATTAAGTGAGGCTGCATCATAAACAATCGAACTATATAATCTTGAGTGTAAAATAAAGGAATAAACTATTTTGACAGAAGTCACGAAAACAGATTAAAAACACAGGATTCCATGGATAACATTAAGGGAAATGGATAACATTAAGGGAAAAGCTTCCAGAATCAGGAATGATTAAATTGCTGGCACAATACGTAGATTTAAGTTGATGTCCTGTATGTTTCATTAGGACACCGCATGATTTATCTTGTCTTGTCGCCAGTAAAAATCTTCTCAGAACAAAAGTGAAAGTAGAAATAAACAGTCTACTGAAATCCAGTGAAATCACAAAAAAAGGTAAAATTTCTAGGGCATTACAATATATGAGTATATATAAATATTAAGAACGCAATTTTATTTTAGGTCTGAAACAGTAGTCGAGAGTAAAAAAATGAGGAAAATAAGGAAACCGGTTGTGATGTAAAGTTATTGGATTTACAAAGACAGCGCAACAGAAATTATTTTTCATATCACTTAAAATTGAAATTTATTGACGTGCGCTTAATATGTATTATAAAGAGGATATTGAATGAGTGTAAGTTCAATGCTGAATTTATTGCACGAGTTGAATAAAATTATATTATGCGACCTCTAGCTGGTGAGCATAATATTTACTTTATTCAATGAGTGCAATAAATTCAGTAATGAACATACACAAATTTAATATAATATTCTATTTAACACATACTAAAAATAAAGACCGTTTAAAGTGAAATCAGAGTCATTTTTCTTTGACGCGCCTATAGTTTAACGCTAACATTTAGCATGTCTTTACACTATGTTTGTATAACGCTAATGACGTCACGTCAAAATATATGCACGGCCGTACAATGCCATATTTACGGAGTCGCAAAATCGGCACTGGTGTGTGATAATATAATGCTTTATCACACACCGGTGCCAATTTTGCCACTCCGTAAATATGGTATTGCACATCTGTGCATATAATTGACATGACGTCATTAGCGTTATACAAACATTGTGTAAAGACACACTTTAAATATGCAGCCTGACTGGGACTTGAGCCCGGGACCCCTTGAATACAGTGTCGAAGCTGACTACCGGCTAAGCTATCAGTCCACTTGCATACTCCTCCCGTCAATAGTGAACAGTTCTTAGCTGTAGAAATGAAAAAATCAGTTTTACAGTATCCTTTTTGTGATTCCATATACCATGCCAGTAATGGTCTCCTGACAGGGAAGGGAACACTTCCTTACTGATAGTGGATCTGAACACCTCAGTGTCTGCATTATAGGACATTTGCCATACCTTTTTTTATTTTTTAATGAAATTTGGTGGATTTTTTTTCCATATCAATCAAACAGATGTAATTGTTACTCAATATTATAGTAATATGTTGCCTTACTAACTTAGTTTCATTTCCTAGGAGGTTATAATATTAAGGTAAAATTACCCCCATTTTTAAAGATGTAATGTTTTTGCTTGAACAAATAGGCATCATAGAAAATTTACCCTATCTTTCTTCATAGTTTGGGGTTAGTGTGAGCTAAATGGGAGAATACCCAAGAGCAATTATGACAAATGCAGACTCGTTTTGAGTTATCCTTCTACATAACAATATCTGATCGATCTGAACTTGTTATTTTGGTGTTTATTTCGTTTCATTAAATCAACGATGTCTTCCCAGGGTTAATGCATTTTTCTTTTCATTTAGGTCATTTTATTCCTTGCGTTTACTGTTAAGCATAAAACTGCCGCAAGCTTAAGTCAATGCTAAGGGGCGTAAAAGACCAGACTAAATAAACAGAATTTGCTATTTTTACTTATCTGTTGTTTGATCTTATTGCTCTGAAGGGATCACTCCTTTCTAGAACGATTCAAATTAAAATTATTTCAAACGAATTAAAGGACCTTATTTTCTGATTACTTAAATCAGGCCAACTCATATTTCAACGATGAGCACAAAAAGTAAACCAAATAATATACTGCAAATAGCCATTGCATGACATACGGCTTTCTTCCTTCATGTCACTTATGGGTTTTTGTTTTATATTATATAGTTATTGTGACTGCAACAATATGATTGTGTACGCATTCGTAATATTCTCACTGACCAGTGTTACAGTAATTGCGATAACACAACCATGCAACGAGACATACGTTGCCGAGAATGGTCATCAGTGTCTCCCATGTGATGCGGGACATCATAAAGTGTCTGACTGTATTATAGATGGCACACAGTCTGAATGTAGCCTTTGTAGGAATGGGACGTACATGCCAAGTTGTGACACTGCTCCGAAGTGTATAACCTGTCGGTTGGATTGTCCTGATAAAAGGCAAGTCCAAGTGAAGACTTGCACGGACGTAAGTGATATAGAATGCCAGTGTGAAATAGGATACTTTTGGAAACCTAGTGTTATTGGTCCAAATCACGGAGAATGCAGGCCACATCAAAAGTGCGAGGAAGGCCATGGAGTTGTAGCAAAGGGTATGTAACAATTATAAATTTGACATTTTAGAATTCATACAGTTTAAAGTTGTCATGGAACTTTTTTCTCCATAGATTTTACTGAAACAGTTGCAGAAATCTTAAAACTTGAGAATCAGTTTTTCGACAACTTCTACAAAAGCCGTATAAGTTGCTGCTTAATAAACAAATACATAATTTTTGTTAGTATAGTCTGTTGGAATAAGTAGAAGTTAATAATAGCTTTTCATGTAAAATAATTCATTTTTTATGAAAAATATTATTGAAAAATGATTTTAAGCTTGCCACTAGATATTTTGTAACTATATTTTGTACACTTGTTTCAACCTGTAATCACTGAATAATGATCCTATACTGAATTGTTTCTTATAATTGACAAACGGATTATCATTTCTTTGGTCAAATTTTATCATTTGATTTTTTTATTATTATTATGAATTATTATTATCACATGTAATGATTTTTTTCTCAATCGGTAATTAGGTTTCATTTGTACTTTTTCAAAGGTACACCATCCTCCGATACTGAGTGTGTGCCATGTGAAAATGGATTTACTTACTCTAACAGCTTGTCCTTTGAATCCTGCGTTCCGTGCTCGTCTTGCAACACCTTTATAGAGACACAGTGCACAGCTTTTAATAATACTGTTTGCAAAGAACAGCAGCCCAAACCACAAAACGAGAAGTCTTCCGATGGTCTAGGTTTGTGTTTGGTTGCAATAAATTACGTTTTTCCCATAGATTATTTGTATTTTTTTTTAGATTTTATTTTCATTTGTGTTGTTCTGATTTAGAGTTTATTAGAACTATAAATTGTGTTTGCAAAAGCATGTAAATGTATATGAATGGCAACAGCATATCGTCTTTTTGTCATCTTTATTTGATTACTAGGTATATTTCTCTAAAATCTTTTGCTTAGTTTGCAATTGTATTACATTTTATGGAAGTTGGGTAAAGAATGTACTATGTATGCACAACATATCATTCAAATTTAAAGACAGAGATCACGTTTTTACAGTTAAAGTGTTAAATACCGTATATCAGGTTATTTTTGCGTACGGCAAATTTCGCGACTCCGGCAGTAATATAATTTTAGCAAATCTTTTTCTCGAGATTTTGTTTTGCACAAATAACGTCTTTTCTGTTGACAAAGAGAGACCCCTCTTTTTGTCACAGATTTATCGTTTTCACAGAAACTCACGAAATCCCATTATTAATTGAAGGCAAATTATTCGATTATATTTTTCGCGATATTCATTGCACGCGAATATAGCGAAAATTAGATACTCGCGAAAAAACCCTGATATACGGTTTTTCAATAAAGCAAATAGGAAATAACAAATACATGCATAAGTTTTGTTTCAACTTTTTTCCTCGGATTAAGCATAAATTATATATCATGAAGTTTTAAAATTACCTATTGAAATATAGTTATAGAAAAATAAACAAAAAGCAATATATGCTTTTCAAGTATCATTATATCCAGCGACAACCATTACTAAAAAGATAAGCTTTATCAAGGTAATTGTAGGGGTAACGAAGCTTAAAATGTTTTTTGTTTTTTTTGCATATTAATGCATTGATTTACTAAGTGTTACTCTTTTAACCCATCGCGATCTTGCATATAATATTATATGTACGGTATAAAGCATTGGTATGGCTACTGCTTATCTGTACAAAAAATGCAATAGAAGATGTCACCTTTTGGTACGCTAGTTAAATGATAAATGTACCCTGCCATCACAGCCAATTTATCTTCCATTACCAAATATGGGAATTGTCAAGATCGGCAAAGCTTGTGTCAAATAATAAAATAACAAATTAGGATTTTATTGATAAGGACCCCTCTGTAAAGCCTGATATTTAGTGTTACATTACTTATAACAAATACTTATTTTTGATACACCTAAAACTAATGTAAATGGTTAATCTACGCATCATATACTTTATAAAATAATATCACTATTTCAAGCAAGTGACGTTTTTGATATAGTTACATTTGGCAAATTGTTTAAGAAATGTTATATCGTAAACAGTGATTTTATAGTTATCGGCCTTCGTGATTGTATGATTATATTCCTGCGCCTTTAAACTCGAACCGTGCATTATTCTACAACAATGCCTACAGAATTGACAGATCTATTCCTTAAACAACATTTTACTTAATGCATGACATCAGCGCCGCTGAATAAAGTTAGGTTTTGATTTAGAAATGGTTGTCCCGGGATATATAGGATATGCGTATGCCACTTTAGCTGTTAGACTCGTATATTTTATGTTTTTATCATTGCATGTTGTTTATTATTTACGCATGGTTTTGTTTACTTTCCTTCTCTAGAACCCGAAGCTATTGTGGGAATAGTAATTGCGGTAGTAGCAGTTATAGCTGTTCTTATAGTTATTCTTGTTATCAGGTATAAGGCTGTTTCATCAATTTATCTTTAAAGCATATTTTCTTTTCTAGAAATAGCATAATTCATTTGTATAAGTGCATCGGCATAAACAAATATAACTCAAAATATATCTTTTTGATTTTGCATATTATCATATATTTATACATACGAGGGTTTTTAAAAAAGATCGCATAAAACTTCCATAGCATGAAAACAAATTAGCATAACATTTTAAATCTATTAAATCTGTACATGACTGTGTAAATTCAACTAAACGTGTATTTTTACTTTATATGCAAAATTTCATTCAGTTTGTAATATGGATTTACAAAAACATTTTACTCATAAATATAAAAATAAAAAAATAATAAAAAAAGAAAAGAAAACCGTAACGTAATGCAATTTTTATGCGAATTTCATGTCCCTCTTTCATTCGTCATGATACTTTTGTTTTGTTTGGTTTGTTAGATAGATATTCATGTGCATAATTGTATATTCATAGACTGCCTGTAACATTAAACGTTTGAATTTTGTAACTTACTTTAAATATAAAGAAGAAAATTAAAAGTTCTTCTTTGAAAGCCATCTTTCTGTAATTCCTGAATATCTAATTGCATCTGATTACTTTGAAGGAGGTGCAGAAAAGACATTGAAGGTGAAAAGCCAGAAAATGCTGAGCGGGGACTTGGCAATGACTATAGCCCGAGTCATGTTGATACAACTAATACAGGACCTGGTTGTAGTTTTAGCCTTTCTCGTGATACAACAACAAATCACAATACAAATGACGAGAAAGCCACTCCAGCGTCTGGTGAAAGACAAAACGATCCAGCTAAAAATGGCACCGATTCATTCATTATAAACCAAGCATTCGATCCAGACTCAGAAGATAAATTGGAAATGGAAAAAAGTAAAGGCCAAGATGAAGTCATATTTCAACTGAAAACATGAAATTCTTCGTCAAAACAATCACAGTCAAGCTGTGCATATACCAAAGAGATAAAGAGAACTTTAGAAAATAAAAATGATGAAAATCCTGACGAATTGTCTTCCAATCAAAGTGATTGTTGTTCCATTCATTCAAAAGAATCATGTCGAAACAAAGGAATGAAGCTGAGTTATTCCAACAAAGGCTTCACAGATGATAAAGACAGTCTATCTAATGACACTGATCTAACAGTTGATGCTTCCGCAGTGGCACCTCGCACCCTGCCACCAGAAGTAGACAAAGAAAGAAATAGTAATCATCCGGAAGAAGCTGGATTTGATGGCATGGTAAGCTACATTTGTCTTAGATGTGATCATGCAAAATGCATACGATACAAATTTGGTTATCATATATTATTAAAAAAATACTTAAAGATTGTTATACAAAGTACACTTTTATTCACAACAAAAATGCATTTTTTATCGATCAAATATTTTGTAAAATTATTTATTAATATTATTCTGGCTTACTGGCCTGCAAAATTTAGGCCTCGAACTGTAAGAAATATTACCATAAAGCAAACGTGACCTACACTCACATCTTTAATCGATACTGAAGTATAATGTTTAATGCAAACATTAATGAATTCTAAGATTCTTTAATTATGATATTCAAACATATTTTATGTTACCAAAATGTTTATGTTTAGTTCAATCTACATCGTTACCATGACCGATCCCGCCTTATTAACATAACATACGCCCAGTGTTCGTTAAATAAGTCCTCTTTAACTTCTATAGTACTATACATTTAGTACTTACCTTTGCTTTTTTTAAAGATCTATATAGATAGAAAAACCGAAATAACCCAAGACAATTCTTGGTTATCAATGCTGCTTTAATAGTAGTAATAAGCTACAGTCCGGGCCTTTGCCTTGCCTTTCTTTTCATATTTATTCAACAAAGTTAGTATTCTCAATTGTTGCCTCTAATACTTGTAGTCGATACATCCTGATATTAAAAATTGATATGGAATGCTACAGTGTTTATGTCATGCAATTTTATTATTAGGAAAGACGTGGTGATGGACCTGTGAACTCTTTGGGACAGGAAAGAGAAGGTATGCAAAGTCAAAGAACTTCAATCGAGAAAGATTCAGTTGACACAGAACGAGACGTCATAGGTAAATACATTTAAAATGTAAAACATGCAAAGAAAAGAGGTTTAAGATTGTGGAAAATACATGCAGATAACATGTTAGTATTACAAATTGGCGTCGACAACTTTGTGTTGCTTGAAATTTTACTGACTTGTCCCCGGACACTTATATTTGAACGGATTTTATTTGGTTACAAATGGCTGTTTATATAATGTAAACATACAAGTCTTTTAACAGTTTATCAATATGGTTTATAAGAGATGATGAACTAGTTTAGATTATTAAATATCGAGAACATGATGCCGTAACTGAACTTAAATACAACAATGGACTCCTGATGTGTACATTTCATAAAAACACTTGGGACTGGTTTTTAGTCATAATTGTAAAACTGAGATAGACAAAACTTGAGATTATTCTTGGTAGTGCCTCCGAGCACTATTAACTTTTATATTAAGTCATTAGTAGAAAATTAAAAACGAAAAAATAAATAATAAAATATAAAAAAACAAGTGCAGAAATTTGGATTTTTCATGAATAAATCCCAGATAGTTGATAAGCCAATGCATATTTCGTTTCAGAACCTGCTGCCTCGTCTGATAGTATGACTGCTGGAATAGATTCAAATAGAACAGAAGAGAATCATCATTTCACGAGTAAGATTAAATAATGTTTTGCACTTATATGGGAAAATAACTTGTTGAGATGGATTCACAATATCAATTTCATGTCTATTACTACATTGTAATTGTATTTAGATCAGAACACGTATTTGATTAAAGACATCGTCTCCGAAGGAATGACCTTTAATTTTGTACGTGAGAATATGTACTACTTTTTGATAGAGAAACTTTAGTAACAATGATATGACATACGATCCACGTGAACAACTATACAACGTTAGTTTAAGGGACCCCACTGAGATTTTTTGACGTAATGTGACTGGAAATGATCATGATTTGTCGAGGTTGATGTTCTATTTAATGTAGCATAGACAAATAACTTTTTTTTCTATTTTATGCATATCTTTTTGTTTTTAGTGCCCAACATGATTCATGTTTTAAGGCTTTGGGACGTCAGTGGAGTCCCTTTAAGTTTGCTTTGACTCTAACAAAATCCAATCTTCCGAATAGCATTTGGTTTGTAACAATGCATGTTTGTTGACATGCTGATAGAATTAGAGGAGCTAAAGCCGATGTGCCAAGCTTAATTGGTATTTCTAATAATGTCGATTTAGGTAATTGTGAGTGTATATTACTAGTAGGATTTATGTACTAACATGTCTTCTATTATGTGCATGCATATTCAGTGAGGAAATTTCTCGTATGGAAAATTTAAAATATGTCCTTCAATTTGTCAACAATTTTAAATGTTTTCTTTTTTTGTCGGCATTTCTTCAGTCTGGTATGAAATGTTTGACTTCCTGCAGTGCAACATGCGATTTCAAGATTTCAAAATTTTCGCTAGAAGGCTTGCTTGTAAGTGATGTTCTTTTTTAACTATATTTGTATATGTAATTTAACGTTCTTTAGATCTGTAATGCACTTGCACTTCACAAACCTGAAAACAATACAGTTTGTTTGCCTACCGGTAGTGATTTCAATTTTACTGTAAAAATATAGAGATTTAAATAAAGGTATGCAAATACCGACGGAGTAGATAAAATAACGTCTGATTATTTGTTTTAATATTCCTCGCAAAAGTGTGTGTAAGCAATGTCCAACAAATTAAATTAATTTTCAAAAATAAAATATCAGTAATTACATATAAGTATTTAATCCCAATTTCAGATACATTGTATGTTTTTGCTCGACCATGGTTTGTTTTTGTTGTAATAATCTTTAAAATATTTGATTTCTAGCTAACACAAATAAAGAGTTTTACAAGACAATTGACGCGAAAATAGAAAACTCTGGAGAAGGAAATGTACCTCCGAATGAAAGAATGTACCAAATATTGACAAGCTGGCGACAGGCCACCCCAAACGCTCGGTTAAAAGATGTGATAGACGCAATGAAACATTACAACCATAACGCTTTATGTGCTGACCTTATAGATAAGTTAAAAGATAAACATCTGTTGGACGCTGATGATGATTTGCTTGATACAGAGATTGCACAAATTTGAAATGACAATTCACTTTATCCAGGAAATGATCTGTCGGTTCAAGATGCAGACACTGGCATAAAAGAAAATGACCTAGCTCAAGGTGGACATCCCGAAATGGAAGATCTAAAATCTTTCAAGTGTGAAGATGATGATGCTGGGTGTATAAGTTAACGAATGACATATAAATATAATTTTACAAAAAATATAGACAATTCATTTCCAAGACAATGACTAAGATATCGTCACATAAGTGCGGTAACGGGTTTACTCCTTCAATTATTCATAGGAGTTAACCTATTATTGTACCAAGATGACGATATATTACATGATATTTTGGCTTGCAGTTACCACTAAACTGAGCCTGGACTGATTTCAATTTAGTCGTGTTGGGCTTTCTTTAGAGATTCTGTGTATCTCAATTGTATTATAAAAATATATATATAGGTGCAAAAAATGACTTTGGTAAATTATTTTACAAGAGGCATTGCCTGAATAACAGTTTAACCATAAACCCTGAAGTTTTAAATAAACTTGTTCAGTTTCCATTTTTGACCAGTCTCAATGCTCAATTTTGAAGATATCGAGATGAAAATCTGAAATTAGAAAGACACAAATTAAAGGGGCCAGACCCGATGTCACAATGTGAGTCTTTAGTGCTAACTATCCGTTCAAACAGGGTAATGGTTAAACAACTATGAAAGGCTTATATAAATCCATTACGTAACTTGGGCATACTTGTTTTCAAACAATTTAAAAAAACTGTACATTATCTATCAAATTGTTTTGTAGTTATTGCAATAAAATGTATAAAATTATTACAATGGATATGAGTATTACTTTATCTTTCATTGTAAATTTAGTAATGTCACTTTCCTTTATTTATATACCTTTTTTATAATTATATATATATCAAATCAGTTACATATATACATGTATATATCAAATCGTTGCTGCGTATATTACGAACATGTGCTATTATATAAATAACAAATGGCTGTCGGGATGAAAGAGGATATTGTCAAGCCGAGAACTGGTATAATACCCCGATGCGCCAATTTAGTGGCAATTGTCTTTTCAGACGACTTTTTTTGGGTGTAAGGGAGATAACACCTACATACCTCCAATTTGCCACCATATTGGCGCATCGGGGTATTATACCAGTTCTTCGGGTGACAATATCCTCTATCTACTCGACAGTCATGTGTTATTTATATGATATCATACCTCAATATATCCTTCAATGTAAAACAATAATATGAATTTATATTGCCATTACATATACATGTAACAATATTGCGGTTAGATGTATAAATATTGCCATAATATGTATCAAAATTGCCATAATATGTATATATATATATATATTGCCATTGTATATAACAATATTGAGGTTAGATGTATTAATATTGCCATTATATCTGTTCATTTTACCATTGTATGTATCAGAATTGCCATTATATGTATTAATAATTGCCATAATTTGTATTAATATTGTCATTACCTGCATTAATATTGGCATTGTATGTATTAATATTGCCGTTAAATGTATCAAGATTGCCATTATATGTTTTAATGTTGTCATTATATGTATCAGTACTGACATTATATGTAATATTTCGATGCATATGTTCTCTATCCCAGAAGAAACAACAGTTTGTTTTAAATGCATGCAATGTAAAGCAACAATACACTAGATCTCAGTGTAAATCGTATTTTCCTAATAAGTTTTGGTATTATTTGATAAAACAGTTATATGTTAATTTTAATTTCATATTGTTATTATTGTTTGAAGAGATGTATACATGTAGCTAGTTCAATATATTTTTTTTTCATAAATGATTTATGTTATTTTCCATAAGTTTTAATTTTACACATTTAAAAATGTTTCTGTAAATTATATTTTAGGTTACCATATATAAATGAGACTTTATATAAATAAATTGTAATCTATGTATTTTAATCTCATTCTATTGCAGCTTAAATATTTATCGTTTATTGTTAATTTCATAATAATAAATTTAATAATATTGATATTAGGCGTGGAAATCTTTTAAATGTTTTTATTTGGTTTGGTTTGAGTTTAATTAAGTCGAACCAACAGCGCAAATGTCATATGGCCTTTATCAAACTTTACTAGTTGAGAAAAACCTCAGGTGCCCTCCTCCCCCGTGCATTATTTCAGGCACAAGCGGATACATCAATAGAACCACCGATGTTACGTAAGCTACCTGATAGCTTTCTCGCATGAGATAATTCTTAGTTTCTGGCTGGAGTCGAACACACAGCGGCGAAGGGCTAGTGGTTTGAAGCCCACGGCCTTATGTGCTAGTAACACGATGTAACATGATCGGTCACCAATCGGCAGGTTCATTTCAAAGTTACCGACTGTTTTGATCGTTTATCAAGTCTGATTTTAGGGGCCAGTTACACAGACGGTCGGTCCCTAATCGGTCATTTAAAACTTTAAATTTACTCGCTGTTATGATCTGTTGTCATGCGTTATTTTATTTTTGGTTCACTGTGTAAACGGCCATCGGTGACAGAAAGCAAACTTAAACAGGGTTGGATCAGTGATAAAAATGCTGAAATACCATCGTTTTTTATCGTCGGTAAATTGGATCTAAATCGGGCGTAACGCTGATTAATCGGTGTTTGATAGCTAGTCATCAGTGGTTAAACACTTTCCGTCAGATATGGACGGTGATTCATATTTGGTTATCTTTGTCCGATCGGCGATATCGGTGATTAAGAGCTTGTATATCTCGTGATATTGGTCGCCGTCGGTTATTTTTTAAATATTTTCACCGATTGAGAATTTTAAACGTGTTTAAAAATCCCAATCGGTAATTTTTCACCGATGAAACTTACCTTTCCCCAATAGCAGTTGATAGGTGGAAAACAGGTGACCAAAAGGTGATATCGGTGATAAATACGTTGTCATCGGTTCACTCCATAATTTGGCTAAAAAAACTACCGATCAATAACCGATGGCTCTGTGTTAGGGGCCAGTTACACAGACGGTCGGTCCCAAATCGGTCATTTAATTTTAAATTTACTCGCTGTTATGATCGGTTGTCATGCGTGATTTTTTCTGGTTTTCTGTGTAAACGGCCATCGGTGACAGAAAGCAAACGCAAACGGGGTTGGGTAGATGATTAAAATGCTAAAAACTATCGGTTTTCATCGTTTGTAAATCGGAGCTAAATCGGACGTAACGCTGATTAATCGGTGTTTGATAGCTAGTCATCAGTGGTTAAACACTTTCCGTCAGATATGGCCGGTGATTCATATTTGGTTATCTTTGTCCGATCGGCGATATCGGTGATTAAAAGCTTGCATATAGGTTGCTGTCGGTTATTTGTAAAATATTTTCACCGATTGAGAATTTTAAACATGTTTAAAAATCCCAATCGGTAATTTTTCACCGATGAAACTTATCTTTCCCCAATAGCAGTTGATAGGTGGAAAACAGGTGACCAATAGGTGATATCGGTGTTAAATACGTTGTCATCGGTTCAGTACATAATTTGGCTACAAAAACTACCGATCAATCACCGATGGCTCTGTGTAACTGGGGTGTTACTGGGGTGTAATTTGGCGTAAGAAAAACAACCGACCAATCACCGAAGGCTCTGTGTAACTTTGGTGTTATTTCTTGCTTTGATCGACCATCTGTGATGAAAAAGTATTAATCGATTAAAAAAACATTTAATAGGTTGCTGGTAGTTGACAAAATCGCCAAACGAGACATCTCAACGAAAGCATACGGCTACCGATTATAAGTAAAAGACATATATAAAACAAGCACCGCTTCCGACATCACTTATCAAACGCCTGTCTGTCTTCGAATGGCAAACAATTTACCACTGGGCTTTGCAAACCGATCAGTAATCGATGAGTGCTTATGCATACCGACTGTCAAATTACAAATAAAAAACAAACGATAACACAATGTCGGCAATCGATTTATCACAGTTTGAATCCCTATAAAAATCGACCATAAACCGACGAAATCCAACACTTTACACCCCAGTTAACACAGAGCCATCGGTGATTGGTCGGTAGTTGTTTTAGCCAAATTATGGAGTGAACCGATGACAACGTATTAAACACCGATTTCACCTATTGGTCACCTGTTTTGCACCTATCAACTGCTATTGGGGAAAGATAAGTTTCACCGGTGAAAAATTACCGATTGGGATTTTTAAACATGTTTAGAATTCTCGATCGGGGTAAATATTTTATAAATTACCGACAGTAACCTATATCAAGAGATATGCAAGCTCTTTATCACCGATATCGCCGGTCGGACTGGAAAAACCAAAAATGAATCACCGGCCATATCTGACGGAAAATGTTTAACCACTGATGACTAACTTTCAAACACCGATTATTCAGCGTTACGCCTGATTTAGCTCCGATTTACAAACGATAAAAACAGATGGTATTTCAGCATTTTTATCACCGACCAAACCCCGTTTGAGTTTGCTTTCTGTCATCGATGGCCGTTTACACAGAAAACTAGAAATAAAATCACGCATGACAACCGATCATAACAGCGAGTAAATTTAAAATTAAATGACCTATTGGGGACCGACCGTCTGTGTAACTGGCCCTTTAGTTCTCAGTTGTATTAATTGTTCGGTTGCTTCTGTGACACATACATGTAGATGTCCTGTCGGTGACTGCGGTTGAAGACAGTTTCTCAATCGGTTGTTTATTATAAACATTTTAACAGATCGAGAATTTACATTCTTTAATCCCAATTGGTTATTTTTCACTTATAAAACATCTTTTTCCCGAATAGCAGTAGATAAGTGGAAAACAGGTGATCAATAGGTGATATTGGTGTTGAATACGTTGTCATTGGCGATGTCTACAATTTGGTAAAGCACTACCGATCAATCACCGATGGCTCTGTGTTACTGGGATGTTAACCACTCGGCAGCGGATGCCCTCTATTAGTGATTTTAACCAATTAGCATGTATCAAAGGAGTAAAAACAAAGACGTGTTGAACAACCTTTGGCAACTGAAACAACCGAGTATCTCCCATGGGGCAGCAGTATTGTTTTTTGTCCGTTTTCATAAAATTATCGTAATGGTGCTTCTCTTTGACTAGAATTCACTAGGATGATGCATGCGACAAAAATGTTTAAAACATTATCTTTTTTAAATGGTGGAACTGTTTAAGTCTTTGATCGCTGTCAGATTAAATGACAAATTTTATATTAGTAATCGAAATATGTAGAAAAAAGTTAATTTAATAAAGTGTTTTTAATTAATATTCTGGCATTTGTAGCTGAATATTAAAGTAGCATACATGTATCTCCAGATTCATGCTAATTTTCGTGAATTTTTTTAAAACAATGTTTTTAAAGTAAAATATTGTCAATATTATGCAAAGAAAGTTATCTATACATTACAAACGGCACTTACATTTTACGTATATTACCAAAAAGAGGTCAACATATGCAAAAATAGCCCTTTCTGCATAGTCATGCAGTAGAAATGTGCTGATACATGCTGCACAAATCAGTTCATTCATTGCATAAAGTATGTACATGTAAATTGTTAAATCAATCTTGATTTATTTTTTACTTTTCTTAAAATTTTAGTACATTTTTCTCAATTTGATTTCCTTGAAATATTTTGGCTCATTTGGAGGTATGCATCTTTAAATATTGCCATAAAATTAGACCATTTCATAAAATTTCTTTAAATTCATTAGCATTTAAATTCTATTCTCCTTATATGAAATTATCAATTCAAATATTTATAACTTGATTTTTAATCAGTTCAAATATCATTGATACAATAAGAGTTACTTGTCTATCAACGTGAAACAATTATAGTTATATTTGATTGCCTCATTTTTATCAATCGAAACTTGATGTAATTATAATCGCTTTAAATACAAATAATTGTCTCTTTACATGTATCTTTTAAAAATAAAATCATGAATAATTGGGTCCGCCTTTGTTTAATGAAGACGTGATGATGTCTTTTAAACAGCAGTATGACGAGAGCTGCTGACACAATATCTATTTACAATCATAATTAGATAAATGAGAAAGTTGGAATATACGTGTCCACATATAATTAGGTATGCATTTAGATATTACGCCATCGGACATGATCATGCAATATGTTCTTTGCATAAAACAATAGGAACAAAGAATGAACACCTTACAAAGATGGATAGAAACAATGAAAAAAATTGCATTTGCTGAGATTTTAAAAGGTAAATATAACTTTGATTCATAGCTTTAATATCTAATTATAAAAGCGTACAAAAATATCTTAGTAACACTATCATGATATTGAATATCATTGTAGTTTTAAATAATTCAATAATTTAAAAAGGTAAACAAAAATTAATTAACAGACTAATTAATTGATAAATTCAAACAAATAGCGCATATATATTGGGGCTGATTCGGAACATTTTTCTGCGTCGTGTTGTCGCTTGCGACAAGACGAAAAGGCGATAACGATATATAGGTTGTGTTATCGCTATCGACAAGGCAACGCGAAAAATGTACCAAATCAGCTACCATACATATAGTCAGAATCTACTGTGTAACCTCTGCAGGGAACACTGGGAGAAAAAGATTTTGGTTGTTTGCTAAGAAGCGTTGCTCTAGAGAGTGCGTGTTTATTTTAAGGCACATTATGTCTCAAAGACCATACTTTTTTCCTTCTTTATAATGATTGCACATGAGTTTAATAACGTTTAAATAATGGTTCAGAGCATTCTAAATGGTTATCACCTGAATAATAAAGTGATGAATGTTAAATTATTTGTCATAAAAGTAGCAAAATGTACACACAAAAGTATTTTGACTTCATGCAAAATACTAAATCAAATGTTAAAAGAAAGAAAAAAAGAAAGAAAACAAGAGCCGATTGAACCGGGTGATGTCCCCGGTAAGTTTTGGACACAGGAAGGTATAGATCTACCTCTTGTAGTGTCAGAGTTATGACACAGACA